CTGTGTGTGCATGGGAGGGGGTGTGGGAGGGGCCGTGTGTGCATGTGAGGAGCTGCGGGAGGGGCCATGTGTGTGTGGGCAGAGCTGTGCATGTATGGGAGGGGTGTGCATGCGTATGTGCGGGTGGGCAAGAGATTTGTTTCTGCGGCCCGGTCCTGGCAAGGTCTGTGGACGGGGGATTGTGGACCCCTGGTTTAGGGGATGCATGGTGGGGACATGTATGGAGCTAGAGATAGTTGTGATTAGCTCATCTATGTCCCTTAAGTAGTCCTATTTACTCACATGTTCTTGCTCTAGGGGTGCATTTTCAAGGTTAATCCCACCTTTCCTATGCACTGTATTATCAATCCCAGTTACACTTCTGACAGATAGTTGTTGGATGAATTTGATTTAGTTGGAGAGAATAGTGTGGGAGCTGTCGCTGTATGCCTTTTTCCCAGTTAAATTTTAGTCCAGATAGTCTATCTCTTGTGCCATCTTCTTCAACCAAGTTGCATTTTAGGTACCCAACATTCAGTAGTTTGGTGAGATGGCCAGAACATGATTTACTGGTAGACAGGGAAACAACAATTTGCTTGGATGGAGTGGTTCATAGTGAGCAGCTTGAGGTCCTAATGAGTTTCAGTGAAGACCTGCAATGGCTATGCATGACATATGGGGTGCAGGCTCGTATCAGTATAAATAGTAAGGCTGTACATATATACGAATGGTCTTATGGTAAGATAGTCATTTAGTGATCTGTCCTTTCATTCACTTTGAAGTGCAGTGTACATGAATGACACTCTATAGATAGATAATAGGGTGACAAAGAGATGACTATCCATGGGAGTTTCATTAATATTTTATGTCTTCTTTGTTTGTTTCTTACAAATGTGAATAATACATTTCCAAGAAAAGCCAGAACATTGGTCACAATTGTATAGTCATCTGAAAGAAGTAATATGTGTGGTTTCCTCTAAACTGTGCTTTTATGAGTGGAAGGCTTGAATGTCAGCCAGAACTACCTTACCAGAAATATGTATGGAATGTTAACTAAGCCCTAGAAATGTTTAAGCTGTGCCTTTGTTCAAGAAAATAGTAAAAATGTATGCAGTCCTTTTTTAACAA